CATGAAGTGCCGCTTTTCCCCCTATCTTTTCCTTTCTCAGCGCCTATTCCCCTTTCAGCGCTTACTTGTTTCTTTGACGCCTACCAGACGCCCGTTTCCCCTTCCCACATATTTCCTTCTCACACTATTGTCTTTTACACCTTCTTCACGACCCATTCATTCTATTGTTCTTATTGTCTTCTCTCATCTCCTAGTTACTCATTCCGGACTCGTTATTGTCTTATACTTGACTACTATTGTTTCCTTATTGTTTTCTTATTGTCTTTCCTATTCGTTCACGACTCATATCTCAGACCTCTGACTGGGTATATAAGCTAGGTAGTTTACACCTGGTCCCTCATCTTGACCTCTTGTCGTTGGGACCAGGTGAGTAGTTATTTCTGTCTTTCTCTATCTGCAATGTATCTGACTTGTCGTTGGGACCAGCTCCTTTATCTGCCCTTGCTATCTGCTCACTGCCTCCGCCGTCTCTGCTGTCGTCTCCGCTAGTCGACTTCTGCCGCCGTCGTCTCTGCATCCGAAGTCCTTGCGTCTAGCGCTTTAGGACAGTCATCACACCTGGCTGACTTGATGACCATATTAATATGATACCACGAGGCTGAACTCCATGAAATCTTCCCATTTGGGATGGCGATACCCAGTGTCACCGAAAGAAGAGAAGAATGTGTCAGTTTTGCAGACCAACACTATACTGGGGTATTTCAATCAATTCGTATATCACGTGTCACAAGCCCCTCCATATACGAAAATTTTTCGTATAGTCACATAGTCACAGGGGGTCTATACGAAATGTCCCGGTATGTGACAAATTTCCCACGAGCCCAAAGAAGCTGGAAAACAGCCTTTTTGGGTGATTTCGTGGCCAGATTCGACATTTTTTGCGGGGGCGGCCGATGCCGCTACTAATTCCCCTTCATGTACTCCCAATTGCCGGGGACTTGTGAGTTCCATACGAAATTTCTCTCCGGCGTCACTGGTCACATTCATGTCATACGAAATGACCCTGGCAAATTTTTTTGTCACACTGAAACCCCCATACAAATTGAATGAAATACCCCAGTAGTCACTTTGATACACACCTCTGGACCGTACCTTATTGTCCAACTTCCAAGTCACTGCTATATTGCCGTGATCCCCACAGTTGCGATCAAGGCATACAACTGAGGCATTGCCAACGTTATATAAGGGAGGATGGGAGTGTGGATGATGGTGGAGGAGAAGAAAGGAGAGAGGGGGTACGATCATACGAGGTTGCGGGCGCAAGTATATGTGAGGGAATGTCCCTCTGGGTGCCAAACAGATATCAATTTGAACGCTCGGACCATCGATCGACTCAGGCAGACATCAAGTCGAGTTGGATGAGGCTGATCCGAGTCTTGGTCTGGGTGGAGTTAGATAGGGATGTTCAAGTCAAAAGAGTCTCGGTCAAACGTCAAAGTCAAAACCAAACCAACATCATTCAAGATATCCTTGAACAAGCCGGCGCTCCACATCTCATTCTTAAAACTAGATATATTCTGGAGGTACGCAGATCTATCCAGCTAGGTCCAGAAATGCCCAGATCTTGATGAAGAACTGCAGAGGCGGTTTTCACTGGGCATGACATTTCACCAGAATGGGTCTCCTGTGACATGTGACCTGACGATCATCCTGAAATGGTACAGTAGTAGCCCCATAGAGTCCGATTCGGAAGACTATGGAATCAAACTCTTTGACCGATACCCTGTATAGCGTACAAAGGTCAATCCCTGTCGCTTATTACCCCTCTGCTCCAAGGGCTATAGGCTGTACTGAATGTTGCAAGCGTAAAGTCAGGGTGGGTCAACAGCGTTGTCCGAAGGTCTTACGAACTGATTATTTCGAAGTGCAACCCCAAAGGAGTCTCTGAGGCTTATTGTGGGTCTCATAGCAATTCATTTGTTGTGCTGAACACCTGATAGATGAGTCCAACACCTTGTGTTTGTTGTAGCCGGAAACCGATCACCACCACTCCAAGTCAATCTTCGAGATCGCGATTGCCCAGAGTTTGATTATCTGTAACGAAATTTCGTTCAAATTTCTTGTTGATTCAATCTTGTGTGTTGTGAGTGAAGCTTCCAAGTGATGATGATCTCCGCCTGGATACTGTAAGATAGCCTACGTGACTATCAACCCGAGACAGTGACGATATCCACTCACAATCCTATCATGAATCTCGAATGAAACCCTATATATGACACCAATAAAATGCAGTCGGCTGGGCGAGCGTTGGAATGATCTTGAGTGCCAGTATTGGTACTTAATGGTTCCACCTGAACTGCGAACCTAGAGGTGCGTTCGAGTATAGAATCAGAACCTGTTTGATACACTAGTCGGGACTGGCAATAGGTCCATATTTAGACAGAGTGTCAGTTGGAACTTCAGCGTTACCCGAATAAACCTTGGAGGATAAGCTGGATGAAGAAAGTAAGTGAGACATTACATGTAGCGGGCCAGGGTATTCAACTGAAGATGAGGTTATAAGCCTGCCACGATATTAGTTACGGATCCATTACGATGTAATCTCATTAGGCCTGGGAGAACTACTGAACGCAATAGCCCAGGGTTTAACTCCCTGCAACGGAACATGAGGTCGTCACTATATTTTTGCTACGATTGTTGTCGTGCGCGTCAGAATTCAAGATAGGGACCCTGTCAAGACCCTACCCGAGCGACAAATTAACAGGACAGAAAATGCACAATGTCGCTACCAGAAGGGAGGAAACTTAGTGTTATGCTAAGAGAACTGCATGAGAAGCCCAGCCCAAGCCGGGACGCGCAAAATTCAACTGAGTATAGAGGGTGTATAAAAGAGATGGAAGGCAGAAAATAATGATCCCTGCCCGGATTGAACGGACGACCTTCTGGAATTTCAAAGCATATATGCTTCATGACTGGAATCAGATGCTCTACCGCTGAGCTAAGGGATCTTCAGGGTGAACCGGTATGAGGAAGTATTCAATCAAAAGTCGGTGACGCAAGCTTTCGGGGATAAGACTGATCACAAGATGTCGGAAGTCGGCTCCGAAACCAGAACGCGGGTAGGCTTTTGACCACAACCACAACGACGACACTCCACGAGTCCCCATATAGTCCCCCCATATCTCTTGCATAGAAATGAGGCCCACGGTCGAAGGTTTTTCTGTTCTGTTTATATCCTACCATTTTCACGATGCCCATTGATTCACAGGTTTCCTTGATAGGTCTACATTTGACCTCAATATCCTGGATTGTTGCGCCAGTCAAGATTGAAGATGGACAACGATTACCCCAACGATTCCTCCACAAGAAAGAGAGAACGACTGTGAGCGAAACCTGGAACACAACTCAAAATCCACCCACGAGTTCAACCTGCGCCAAATTTGCAGACATTATTCGAAGCCAGTCGTCGAGATTTGAGTACGCCATTTTGGGTCATCCTCAGTTTCATCTGTCTCCTCAGAAATCAATACACACGTCTCTATTGTCTTTCAAATCTTCACGGTCGATCTCTCCACTACCATTTTCAAGTAAACAAAGCTCAAGACCCGTTGTGGCGACGCTTGTTCGGTGTCAAAGTTGAATGTAGGCGGCACCATCGCCCTGGCCCTTGACCTCGGCCCCCACCCGTACCGCCATGCCCCCTTGAAACCTTACACCGGATAGCTAATCCTTTCTCTGCCTGTCCCATCCACATCTCTCCGTTCCGTTTACACTAGTGATGACCTCGGTGAGACGCGTCTGTTTCTGGTATTCGCTTTGACGCACTCGTTCGAAGAATGGAGACGGCAGGGAATGGAAGTCTAGGAACAATCGGAATACAAATTCTCCCTCATCGCACGTTCAATCTCTCCATCACGAATACCTGTTTACCTGTCGTTTCCATCGCGCCCAAGCCCTACCTACTCTCCTAACTTCGCAGTCAGCAATATCAAATATATTGGTTCTTTCCCATCTCTCACTTTTGCTTCGGTGCTGTTCCTCGATTGTGAAATCGTTATCTGTGCTATATTGGATGTCGAATGACAGTTCAGCTCGACAGTGACTCTATGTTTCTTCCGCGGCAGTCCTCGGAGTGCAATCGGAGCTTGACAGATGACTACAACGCGGTCGTAACATTGGAATCTCTTCACCGCATCATATTTTCTCCGCTTGGGCCATCGCCGTACTCACAATAGTGCCTCCCACTCAGAACGTGTATCATTAATTCTTATCCTCAATCATCTGAGGCCAAGGCTTCGAAGGCATGGCCCCTCGCTCCTTGCATCCGGAATCTGTTTTGAAGGAATCACTGGAGTATGCAGAGTCGATCAGGTGAATAACGATTCATAAAAATTTTCATTTGTCCATTTTCGAGAGTGTTGACAATCGAGCAAGTCGTGACTTCAACTGGTTCGATGGCGTAGTTGGTTATCGCATCTGTCTTACATGATCTCCATCTCAGGGATTTTAGCACAGAAGGTCCTCAGTTCGAGCCTGGGTCGAGCCAATACGATGAACGTTTGGTCCTTCTCTTTTTGCTTCTGAGTCGTCACTCCACATGCAGTTTCAGCTGCCTCGCATTGAGGTGGATTCATGATTCCTCCTTTTGACTCTCGATCATTCAAAGCACGGTGATTTAGTTCTCCGCGGGGGTCACAACGCCACAGCCTTCCATCATTTTTCGCGCTGCCTGACCAGTGACCAGTGAGAGTATAAGTATAGGACAGTGACCTCCGTAACACATATCCTACATAACTATCCAACAATGGTCCTTAAACCGTCGATCACCATTATTTTGCCCCTTTTCATTACTTTGATCGCCACGAAGGGCGGCAGTGAGTTCTCCCTATTCCTCTTCATAAATTCGGACACTTATGACCTGAGCATCGTAGCCGCTTCTCCACTGTCAACTCGTAGCCAGCTGAAGCGAGAGCCGCACGCATATCCGGGGTGTAACTCATCAAAGGGCGGGTGTATTACAAGTTAGGAAAGGGAGGGTAGAGAAAAGGATAGCCTTTCGTCATAAGATTGTAGCCTAACAATCCTCTGGAACTGCGTCCGAATCAACATAATCCTTAGCCCCGACACCAAGACCCCTACTCGCGAAAACCCTCCACAGGAGACACCTATGAGCGCCTCCGTACCTGTTTGTATCGGCTTGAATCATGGCGTATTGAGCAGTTGTGAATGTGGGATTGCACGGTTGAAGTGCGAGTCCGTCTACAATGAGGTGGAGCCATACGACGTTTCCGGATGAACCGGTAGAGTCCGTGAGAGCGGCTGAGGACCAACTGTGTTTGGTCACGAGCTCCGAGTAGATGTTGTGGAGGATATTAGCCCTGTTTTGAGTAGAGGGTAGGTGAATTCGGGGGAGGTGGGTAGATGAGGAGATGTGCTCACCATATCTAACGATAATTGAGAAGATGAAGAGTTTGTGTGAGCTCAGTACCTGCGAAGACGACTACGGAAACTTATTTTTACCTCTCCCATTTCTACCAGAGCTCCGATCAACACTAAAGTGCTTTAGACGAACGGAATAGACTCACCATGCAAAGTCTCCCGAGTCGAGAGATCCGAATACCTCAACGAATTCGTAACCACAGAAGTCGAATAGGGCCCCGTCCGGAGAAACGTCGAGTTCCCATTCGTAGCCCACGGAACGAAGAAGAAGTCGTGGACTTGCGGAGTTGCAGAGTGTGAGAACCAGCTACAAGGTAAGAGTAGTGAGGAATTGAGCTCGATGAACAAACTTGTAACGTACTTGGCTACGGCGTCGGCCCAACCTTCGTCTAGCCCACCGGCTTCTCGAGTGTCAAGGCATTGAGCGGTACCTCCTCCAGTCATCCGTGCCGTCATACCATGAGTTAGTTCGTGGATGACGAGGTCGTTTTCCATGGCACCGTCACGTTGAGGCTGGGGATAGATATCAAGTCATACGTAAGCTACGTGGCTAGAAACACACTCGAGAGGCTCACATTTGTTAAATCCCATAAAGTCAATTCAGTATGTCCAGATTGACCACTATATGCATCCGGATTTAGCTCAAATGGGGGCACAAGAGAAAGAGAAAGAAAAAGGGGGAGAGGGAGACGTACTCTGGAGGAGTCGCAGTAAACCCATTATTTGTCCCCAACGTGCTCTGCACACTCACCAAAAACCTGTCCCCCCCAACTCCGCCCTTCCCGAAGTTGTCGTTTTGAAAGTTGAACGCGCTCTCTGTAAACCCATACAGGTAGAGCGTATCGTGGAACATGTTAGCGAGGTAAAACACGTTGGTACGAGCGGCGTCTTGGTTTGATGGGATGGTAGGGTCTTGGGAGGCGTCGTAGGTGTAGTTGAATACGAGTCCGGGACTGGATTGGGGCGTGGTGTTGAGGGGGATTTGGAATCGGCTGCCGATGTAGACGGCGACGTTGTTGCCTCTGGGAAAGGGAGTGAGTCCTGATTCCTTCGATGTATATTAAAACGTCGGGCTTACTCAGTGGAATTACCTTCAGGCAGGTGCCATCCCGTGGGTGAAGCGGTCGTAAGCAGTTGAGGGTCAACGACGACTTCGTATCCCTCATCGGGAGTTTGCTTCCAGATCGGAAGAACCTTATACTGAGAAACGGACAACCCGTGTCAACGACATTCGAGACTCGAGGGACGGAGAACGGTACTCACAGATGCATGCGAAACAAAATCGTTCATGGAAACCACTTTGCCGGAATGAGCATCTACGTAGGCCCGATACCAAGTTTTGGTCTCTCGGCCCTGCCAATTCTGAATTTGAATGACATGTACGAGAGCTGCCGAGCCGTCTTCAAGGACTAGATACTCGAGAGTGGGCTCAACGGTGTTCTTCTTGCCCTGAAGAACTTCTTCGGCTCTGGCGATGGCAGAATTTACGTCGAGAGTGGGATTCGGGTCGGCAATCTTGCCTACGTTGAACAGGTCAGGATCGCCTAACCCCAAACTCGACCAGGACTCACTGATGTTTACAAACGAATGGCCGAATACGATGACCTTATCGTTCTTAAAAGCAACGTTGGCAACGGCGTTGCTGAATGGAATACCGTTCTTTGTCAATCAGTGAGTGAAACACGTATCGGAAAGGGGTTAAGTTCAAAGCAACACTTACATGAAACTGCCTAGCGTATCCGTGCATCGTGCCATCCTCGGTAGTGTAACCGGACCTGAACCCCACGTCGATGCGGTCGATTCCCAATACAGAGGCGAGGAATGAAGTCGTTCGATCTTCGATGCTTAAACCACGACGCATCAGGCTGCCAGATGGTAGTTCGAGGCCTTCTCCGAAGATCTAAAAAGTTATATACAAAAGATCAGAAGAAGTCCAGGAGAGAGTGAAATAATAAAATCGAACGAACCTTGTAAGTAGTCGCTGGATGAAACGATGTGATTTGGAGACCGTTATCGAGACTCCTGATATGGTGAGTCGAAGCTCTCCTGGTCAGGTCTGATTCTCCGAGCGAAGGAAGTGCGTTTCCAAGTGACGCGCATACGAGCGCCAAAAGAACGTGCATTAAGAAAGTCTTGAGCATGGCCATGCTTGGGTACGAGCTTCCAATCCACGCTGGTTTTTATGTGCCCTGTCGCGTCAGCTCTGACGGGTATCTCGGTCTATGTGGGATGTATAATGGAAGTGGTCATTCAAAAAACTGAATATCCGAGCACAGCGCTCGGTGACTTGCTGCGGATATCCGTAGTTATTTCATTCGAGCATTACTGTGGGAAAATGCCGAATTTTCATCAAAAAACGAGCATACTGCACCTTGCCCGCAGTCGGAAGTTCATGAATGGGATTGATGGTTTCGCTAATCAGGTTCATCCAGCGCGACCACGGAAATTGCTGTACGCGAGTTGCAGCGTATAATTGATGTGCTAGTCGAAAGGTGGTCGTGGATTTCAAGACCGACTGAATGCCAAACGAGCTCTCGTAAGTAATCACATTGTGGGCACAGAAGAGAATGTTGTGGATTAGATGCTGTGGCCTACCTTATCAGATAGTGGGGAGTTGATATACAGGCTGAGGAAGCGTCAAATCAAGGAGACACCTAGGCTTCGGGAATCTCGACTCATGTTCAGGCTCGGGGTACGTGGCAAACAGCGACGTTATATTGCGGGGTTAGCCTCTGGGGACCCTTCGCCCAGAATGGCCCTGAACTGTATGGATTGAAGGGAGCGGAAAGGTAATGTATTGTTTTGAGAAATGTCATGAACTCCTTTGGTGTCTGGGAGGGCTGATGATGAGTAGTTTTGCCAAGCCAACGGTGCTAAGGACGGGAGATTTGCGAAAGCGAGAAACGGGATGCCTGAAAAAAAGTTGAGCCGTGAATAACTCTAGGAACAAAGCGGGTACTATTCTCCAAAACCTGGTTACCACCCCGTGAGTCACGATACTCTTGTACTGGTTCTTTCAGCCATACTGAGCTGCCACAAAGAGGTCCACAGCGAACATTTTTCAGGATTTGCGCATGTAAATGTTGATCTCTCAGTCCAGGAAGAAGAGTAACAAGAAAGCTCCATACATACGTCGTCACCCACTATCAATAGGGTGGCGGGAACGCCAATTCAAAGTGGACGAGGACAGACAGGTCAAATGGCACGCTCACGTATTGGAATGGTGAAGCTTTTGGTCGCGGCGTATGGAATTTAGAGTTACCGTTAATGTATGTATTAGGTGTTTCTTTGCTGAAGATGGTCGTCATGACGATTGTTCCTTGGATATCCTAGACATGGGCACGTAAAGCAGAACGCTGAAAGGTCGTGATAGAGGCTCACTAGAAAGATGACGTTTGGAGTAGCAAGGACATGGCAGTGGTGGTCCAGCGTCAACCGGAGAGATGAGGTATTAATCGGCTCACGCGTGCTATATGTAACTTTCAATTCGATCTTATCTTATCGTGGTAACGAACATTCGTCACCGAATGGATTAATATTTGGGACGGACGGAGAACTTGAGTTCAGTTCTCGCTTCCGGAATCGCTACCCCAATTCTATTTTAAGCGGCGCGTTTACTCTTCCGAAGCCTTTCCTCCCCTTCCCCCCTCTCCTCCCGCTATCAAAGAAACTGTTGGACACGAGGCCGATGTCCGAGTTCGCCAACATCTTTCTGGAAGCTGTTTGGGTCGAGGTAAGCCACTGAATATCCATTGCGTTCAGGAACCCTACTCGAGCTCTGATATACCAAATCGGCGACCACCTAGACACTCATATACGGTGAGCGCATAGCCTATCCATTTAGCCCAATCTGGCAGCCAAATTGACCCATAGACAACTACGTCCGAGTTATGCAGGAATTTTGATAACAAGCTACGCATTCACACTGTGCATTACCCTCTCCCCGGGTAGTCTTGGAGTTCCTCGGAGTGAAGATAGTATACGGGGACATATGAAGGTGAGCAAGGCCCACTTCCATCGCTGGCCCAGTTGCATTCTGACGAAAGTTTGTGTACTCAGGCGATGCTCGTGATATCGACAGTGATGAACCTCGTCGCGACAGCTCAT